ATTAACTCGTTTGTTGCTCTCAAGATTGCTTTGATGTCTGCAACACAAAAACAACAATGTCAAACCAAGAGAAATCACACATCAGCAAGATGAAACTGAACATTTAACAAATGATTAGTGCTTGAAGTGAAAAGATAAGAGACTTGGAGAGGATGGGGAAAGTGGCTTGTAACTCTGAAAATAGATATACACTATCCATAAGCATTATAAATTATTTATAGATAGTAAAAACATGAAGCCATAAAAGGAAAATTGGATAACTTCAAATGGTTCTATAAACTTACTGCTTCTTACGGGCAACATACGAATTCAACTCCTTGACCTGCATGACAATCCCAAACACAGAAAATTTTGAACACAAGATACTTGGATGACAAGTAAAAGGACCTAACTAAAAAAAAGAAAAAAAGTAAATCACCATTGACTGCTTCTTTTCATTCAGCATCCTGTGTGTATTTGCATCAATTCTAGTCTCGGTTTTCTTCACTACTCTCTCAAACTCTTTGATGAGCCTGAAAAGAGATGATAGAAATTATTTTGATTCAAACGGGTGGAAAAACAGTCGTTAGTAAACACACAACAGCAACAGCATAGAAGACCAATTTCTTAGAACCCCAATTCTTTGCGGAGAGATCAAGGCAATAAGGGTGCCATAGTCAGTGGCGGATCCACCCTTAACTCAGGGTGGGTACTGAAATCCGAATTTTCTTCGGTTAGTTATCCGTTTTATTTATTGTGCTGCTCCTAAAATTTTATTTATGCCCACTCCATATGAAAATTTGGTGTTATTAATGTATGTGTGCCCATCCTCAAAATATTTCTATATCCGCCCCACTGGCTATAGTTTAGATTTTTTTCTCCTTAATAATGTAAATAACTAAAAGCATCATTATTCAGATTCACTCTTAACATATCCTTTAAAAATCAAGTGACCTTGGTTGTGAAGTAGTTGTTATTCCCCGAGGCCCAAATTAATAAAAAAAGAGCATAATGTAAGCGTCTCGAAAATACCTCTTACACTCTCTCATTTTATCGGTAAGCTCTTCCAATTGCCTACTCTGCCTGTTAACATCCTTAATCTTCTCCAGTTTCTGGAATCCATTTCTGCAATGAAAGCACAACAATTTTTAAACAATGCCAATATACATATGAAAGAAGAAATAATAATCTATATGAAATCTTAATGCCTGAGATCGAGTTACTTCCAACAGAGCCTTAACTGATGATACAATCACATTTTTCTTTTTTGACAAAAGAATCGTTTTCTTTTCTTAACACGATGTAATAAAAAGAAGAAGCAATGTTTATATCAGTAGAATCTGACTGAGATCTACAGTGTCATTTCATAAACAAGTAAAAGCCCAGAAATTGAATTTTTACGATAAAGCTCGAAGAATATCAGCGATTTGTCCGTCGATCTCCGCTAGTTCTTCGCTGATGGCAGCTAAACGATCCATATTTCAATCTAGAGACCAAACTGTTTATCTCAAAACAGAAGCTTCGAAATCCGAATCAGATCAAATCAGTAAAATGACGAGTGAGTATTTAATTCCCGAATCTAAAAGCAAACAACCTCAATCTTTCCAAAAAAGATTGCGTAGGATCTCAAACGCAGACGAAATCAAAAGGCAAAAGAATTAATTAAAACAATTAACGGCATCTAAAGAAAAGTTCTTTGAAAGTTCGACACGACTGCCTCTCGTCTCGATCTAAATTGAATTTGGATTATTTAAAAGAAAATAAAATACTTTTAAGGTGTTTTTTTTTCTTTTCCTGTTTGTACCTTTGCTGGTCGTTTGGGCGGGGACTGAAGAGGGTTTTGGCTCCGAGAACTGAGGCTTTAAACAAATTTTCAAAGTAAATTATGGTTTTGATCCCTCTTTTTATGCTTAAATTTAAATTTAATCCATATATTTTAATTTAAAATATTTTGATTTTTTGATTTTTTAGTTTCATATGTTAATCTAATGTTATAATCTATTATAACTCATTGTATTATACCAACAAAAGTTATTTTAGTTCCTCTACTGTAAAATGAGACACTTTAGTTATTTTATGTTTAAGAAAAATAATATTTTGATCCAAAACTTTAAAGTTATCATTAGCTGGATTTAATAATTTTGGTTTAAATATAATTTAGGTCCCTATTAATTTTGAAATTAAACAAACTAATATTTCTTTGAAAGAAGACTAATTTGGTCTTTATATAGTTCAAAGATGAGAAAAGATAACTGATCTATGTTATAATTTTTCTTGTCCGGACATGACACATATCCAACTATGATTATATATTTTTAAATAAAAAATTCAAAAAAATTATATATTAAAAATTATTAAGAAATTCCAAAATTTTGAAAAAACAATTATTGAAAATTTTAAAAATTAGTTAACACTATTTACTGTTTCAATTAAAGTATGAAAAACTACATAGTATATCATTGAATTTTAAGTTGGATATCTTTCTAACTATTGAATTTTAAATTACTTCAATTTTAACATTAAATTTTAGTTTTGGATTTAAATTAGGGCATTGGATTGTTAAACCGTCAACGACATAATGACATAGTTATTTTTTCCCATTAACTTTAATTTGTGTATCAATTTTATCACTAAACTTTAAAATGCTTAAATTTTATGCACTAAAATCTAATTTTAGTATCAATTTTGTTCATACGAAAAATCGTATACTATTCTTATTGATGCTTTTGGCCAATTGTCGTCTTTTATTGGTCGTCATTTGCGGCAATAGCAATACCAAAAAGTTTATATTTCACTTCTCCTCTTGTTCTTAGATTGTTTTTCTACTAAACCCACTCAAAATTGATGAATATCCATTTAAATGCCCAATGTCCTATTGTTCTAATCTCCTCTTCTAATTATGTGTTGAGGTTATTTTTGAAGTATGTTGTTCGTCTTCTCGAGTGAATATTTCTCAACATTTGAATTTTTAAACAAATAATCCAAAACTCCTCCAATATGATAAAACACCAAAAGTCCAAAAAAGATAGATTTTATATATAATTTTCGAGTTTGAAAAAGTTGAGAAAATCTAAATTGATAAAGTGACAGAGAATATGAGACGAGTTTATTAGTGTTTATGGTGATAAAAAAAAGGACATCAAGCAAATGGTGGTTTTAGGCATAAACTACAAATAGGTGAAAATTCCCTAACTTTATCGAAAAAGTACGAGCCAACATAAAAAAATTATTTTTTATGCTTTCACGTTAACACCAAAAACTATCATGTCATTCTATTATTAATGGTTTATCGACAAAGTACTTTAATTAAATATGAAATTGAAAGTTTAGTGTTTAAATTGAAGTATTTAAAAGTTTAGTGATAAAATCGATACACAACCTAAAATTTAGTGATTTTTAGAGTAGGTTGCCCTTAAATAAAAACCTATAAGAAAGAAAACTAAAATCAAATAATTTTGGAAAGATATTCAGTTTCCTAAATTTAATTTTTTAAACAAACAATTGTTTTGGCTTATTCAGACCTTGTAATATGCAAAGTCAAAACAAAATTGAAATAATAAACTAAAATCTGATAATTTTAACTGATTTTTGAAAAGGAGTTTAGAAAATTTCGTGTCTTCCTTAATACATGCAATTGACTCGGTAACCTCATACATCATGGATGGGAGAGGATGTCGGACATACATATCTAAGCTTAACTAATCCGACTAAGCATTTCCTCTCACTTCCAAATCTAGACATCCTCGTATAATCAATTTTGTCATCCTTTTCCCTATTCAAAATCACTATACCACCAAGTATTTACAATAATGATTTAAAAATAAGATGATTATTTTAATTAATTAAAACAATCAATATTATATTTTAAAAAAATATATATGTTAAATACCTTTATTTAATTGATATATATAACAAGTAAATTAGATAAAATATTAAGACTTAAAAATTATATATTTTTTTTATCAAATTTGTGATGTATTAACTATCGGTTGGTCTGATGAGATTAGACACTAGATTTCTTAAGTAAGATCAGAGGTTGTAATACTAACATTTGCAAATGGAGCAAAGGGGATTGAGAATGTCATCATTACCTCTATAATACATGATCTGAATTAGTTAATTAATTAATCATATACTGATATTATACAAAAGAAAAATCAATTTTTTGATTACAGATAAAAGTATCAATTTAATCTTGATTGACATAAGATGTCGTATTTAAACTAAAACAAATCCCTCTTATTTCCTTGACATATTATGAAATATATTTTTAAAATACATAAATTTTAAGTATCATAATATTTTTTATTAGAAAAATATATATCCCAACTTATTTAAATTTATTGTAGGGATTAAGTGTTTTTTATGGTAAATGAATTATTGTTATTTCTAGAGGGCCTGTGTTCGAGTATCGTGAATGTCATGGTGTGAACATTTAATGTCAAAGGTTGAGAGTTATCTTGAAATAAATACTGTCATTCGACTTACCCTAGATCAATCAAAAATAAATTATTGATTTAAAAGTTATATTATAATTTCATTTTTAAGTGAAAAATGTTAAAAAATTAATATATATATATATATATATATATATAAAGTCACTTAAACCTAATAAGTTTATAAATATTTGAAATCATATACATATACTACATTCTGATCATATTAAAATATTAAAATTAAAATTAAAAAATTTAGCATATATTTATATAAAGATATTAGAAAGAAAAAAAAAGTAAAATTATCATTCCTTACAGTTTATCAAAAAAAAAAAAAACTTACATATATTAATTGAAAAATATATTATGTATAGCAATTGTGTACTAGTTGGATTGGTGTCTAGGGTTATATAATTTTGAGAGGGAGGGGGGGGGGGGGGAGAACAATTTCTTATGAGAATAACAAGAATTGCTATAAATGGTAATTGATTAGGGCTCTGAAGCTGCTTAGTATTGAATACAAATGGGCCTGAACACAAAATTCCCCCATCGATCAGCTTCTATAAAAACATAGCAAGAGAAACCCTAATTCACATTTGATTGCGTTGCATTCTCGCAACAAGCCGCTCTTCACTTCAGAGACCAGGCGGCCAGATATCATCCCATTCCAACAATGGTATTTCTCTTATCTCTCTTTCGGGAAAAAATTCTCTTACTATCGGCTTTGTACGTCTATAGATATGTTTGTTTAATGAGAAAAATGCTTTCTACGAAATTTTTGTTTGTTGACGTTTTTGGTAAGCTAAACAAGAAGAATAAACTGGAGATGATATGGATCTCCCTTTTTTAGCTTAAGTAGAAGTTTTGTACTAGTTCTGTTGGTGTTTTAGTGGTTCTGCAATGTATTCATGTTTTCCCTTCATATTTTTCATATTACAAAAGTTGGGTTAATAAATTTAGTTTATTATTCATATTTTTGGCTTGGTTTCGTTTTCAGTCATTTGTTCTGGTGTTACTTAAAGCATTTTGATTCATTATCAAAATACTAGTTTGGTAGGAAAGGAATTAAGTTAGGATTGTCATTGTTTATAACCTAATTACTCTGGTTTTTTGAAGATCTAATGGGATTGATTTGTGTTAATCGTCTCATGTTGTTTCTTGTTGCAATTAGTAGTTAACTCCTTTTCCTTATGATGCAGACAAAGAGAACCAAGAAGGCTGGAATTGTTGGAAAATATGGTAGGGATATTTTATGACGTCTTTGTTTTTTCTTAAAGATGGCTTCTAGGTAGATAGTATTCACACAATGTAGGAATAATTAGTACTATTGCGTTTCCCTGTGATTTGATTTTGCTTGAAATTATTGCAATTCCAGTATTCTTTGAAGTACTTTATTGCTTTTATTTATTCTATTAGGTTCTTGAGTAAATCGAAGTTTTAATGTGATTCTCTCTCTTCAAAAACTCTATTAGTTTCTTATTTCTTGTCGTGTAATTAAGGTACCCGCTATGGTGCTAGTTTGAGAAAGCAAATTAAGAAGATGGAGGTTAGTCAACACAGCAAGTACTTCTGCGAGTTCTGTGGAAAGGTAGGATGCTTCTGTTTGTCATTTGATCCCTTATTTCTAAGGCCTTTCCCCGTCTTTTTGGTGCATTTCTCTGTTAATCTTTGACGAAATTTTTTTCATCTATTTCTCTTTCGTGTATGACTTGCATGTAGTTCTAATAAAACACTTCTCTCACAGTATGCAGTGAAGAGAAAAGCTGTAGGAATATGGGGCTGCAAGGATTGTGGGAAAGTCAAAGCAGGCGGTGCTTATACCATGAAGTAAGGATCCCTGTTGTACGCCTTTCACAATTCTTTTTCGTTTCTTTGGATGTCCAAGTAACTTACCAGTGCTGCATTTGTTAATTGAACAGCACTGCTAGTGCGGTGACAGTGAGGAGTACTATTAGGAGGCTGAGGGAGCAAACTGAGAGCTGAGCCACCGTATTCTACTTTGATAGGATGATGTTTTTCATGTTTTGGCTAAAAACTTGAATTGGATCTCTTTTTTGACCTTGTACTATGTGTTCAATTATCATTTTCATATCCAAGTGTTGCTACTTTATTTAAGTTTCATCTACGTTATCTTGTTAACTTTACATAAAATTATTTTATTCCTGCTTTTTCTTATTCATGCACGATGGGAGTGATGAACCAATCTTCAAGTTCCAACCCGTGTTCATCTCCGGATAAGCTACTGGACTTTCGCTTGAACAACTTATTGCTACTTGGATGATTTTTGGGTGGGTTTTTTAAAATCCTTACACACATAAAGGATGGTATACCAGTACGATTTCAGTCACATTCAAGAAAAATCAGAAAAATCAGGACAGAAACTTCTGATATTAATCTTTGCAAGGCTTTAAATTTAGCCTTACACTTCCTTCAAGTCCCTTAAAATTCCTCGATCCTCCCATTAAACCCAAAGAATCGATCCAAGTCACATTGTTTTACCAACATCCGATACTACTGGCTCCGTCACCAACGCAAGGCTATGCTCATGTTCATATCGGAGGCATTCATTTGGCTTTAACTTTATATAACAAGTAGCCACCAGGATCGCCAACATGCTTGTTTGGGGATGGTGGAGACGGTGCTCAGCTCTGGGACATTGGTGTTGGTGGTCGTTCTGGTCCCAGATTTCACCATGTCTTTGGAAGGAAAACTTGTTCCTGCCTTTGTTGTTTAAATCCAGATGGTTGTAGCTCCGGTGGATCCAGGACTTGTTCGGGCCACTCTATATTCTCAGATGTCTTACAGGTTATAGGATCATGTTTACAGCTTGGGGTTGGCATCTTATGGAGACATGCTGCCTGCTCATTCGAATTGATTAGAAAAATGTACCCACCATACAACAATATTAGTGGATAGACCTATATATATATATATATATATATATATATATATATATATATATATATATATATATATATTAGTGGATAGGGTAAAAATATATCTCATTAGTTTTTTTTTATTAATATGAGATAAGTACAATATAATATATGTTCAAAGATAATTTTTAACATTAAATCCGAATCCTCAGAAAAAATCAACAATTTCTTTACCATTAAAGTAACTTAGTTCATACTCATATTAGTTAGATATTTTTTTGGGTATAACCATTGATTTTTGATCTATTGATCGACTAATCCGGAGTAAATACTACAGAGACGAGGACGATCTTTTCAATCTAGTTTACTGCATATATTAATTAGATATTCTTATTTTTAAATATAAGCTTTTAGATTTATACTTAATAAGTATTTAAAAGCAAGATATATATAGTAATTGTTGCAGGTGAGTTCATGTTGCGTGTTTTTTTGGCCATATCTACTGTTTTTGTTGGGTAAATATAAATGACTTTTTTTTAGTTTGCAAATTTCACTTTAAAACATTCGAGTGTTCAAATTTAGAAATATTATATTACTCTTGAAGAACATCATTATACCATAAATTACTTTAAAAAAAAAACAGTTTTTTGAATAATACAATATTTAATTAATTTATTTATACTTATCAGGATTAATGTCTTTGTTTTATAGTAGTATTATGCAACAAGAGTATCTACATACAAGAATTACTTCGTTAAAATTATTACAAATTAATATTTTTATTTAAAATACTAGATTTTTTTAAAAAAAATTAAAAATATGAAGTTGACAAAAATAATTAATATTATAGGAGTGAAATCCTGACGATCCACTCTTTCGTGTTAACATCTGTTGGTTAGAAGACTATTTAGAAAACGATATAAATATGTAACTAGAAACAGCTTTAACGTGGGATCCGTGGCGCAATGGTAGCGCGTCTGACTCCAGATCAGAAGGTTGCGTGTTCGATTCACGTCGGGTTCATATTCCCGGTCCCCAATGGATTAACTTTTTTGTTCTTCATCATGCAATTGTATTGGTTCGGTGATGCTAAAAGCCTGATTTTCTAACCAATATTTGTTGCAATAACTTCATGGGTTCCTAAAAGATGAGTTTTGAATTCATTTTTAGTACACACATTCTATGCTAAGAGCCCAAAAGGATGGAGACCAGTTTTTACATCCAAACTAAGCAAGTGACCGAATTGTTTTCATATCAGCACCGCACCACCATGAGCAGCCACATCAGTCCAACGCAAGCACCTAGAAGCCAAAAGGAGGGAGTGGGTTCATCGGTTGTTTGTGTCGGAACCGTCTTTCGGTTGGATTTCAAAATTGGGTTTCGACTTAGGAAAAGTGATTTGGAGTCGCCACCGATTTTTTATTTTAGAACAAATGGGTAGATCAGATACCTTATTTCTTACCTGATCTGCGTCTTACCAAAGGTGTGTCAGATTCGGGAGTCGGTTACAGTCAAGGAAGGGTTAACACCATTGAACTGCCCTTTCGGTACTACATGATTTCCAGTTGTCTCAATTTAAGAAAATGGTAACTTTAAATAGAAAGGTAAAATAACGAGTCAAATTACTCACCTTTGACGAATTTGAAATTGTACCCTCTGAAAGAATGTTCGATTTAATTAAACTAATATAAAGGAAAAATAAGGATAAAAAAAAATAAAAATGAAAATAAAAATATAAGAAAAATAAAAATGAAAATAAAAAGAATAAAAAGGAAGATAATAGTAAATATATACAATAAGATGCTAAAAAAACATGAAAATATAAACCAAAGGTAAAATACACACATATATATATAAATGTTAAAATAAGGAAAATATGTAAAATAATAGCTTACATTAAGAAAAACAAAAAAAAAATAAATAAATATATATACATATTTAATAATAATAATAATACTAAATAATTAAATATTAAGGGGGAAAATATTAATAGTAGTAGAGAAAAATAATGAAAATAAAATATAATAGTAATAATAATAACTAAAAAACAGTAAAAACAGGGAAATAAAAAAATATAAAAAGAAATATGTTTTTTTATATATACAAAAAGATAAGATATAACACTTAAATAAAGAAATAACCAAATAAAATAATTAAAAACGATATAAATTAATAATACATAAATAAATAAAATATAAAAATATACGTATATACGTATATACGTAACAAAATAAATAATAAAAATGATAAAAATAATAATATAAGGGTCGAATTGAATTTAAAAAAAGTTACGTTCCCAAATTAAAAGAAAATGAAAATTACATGCCGAATTAAAATGAATTTAGGGTTGAAATGGGGCCTTTTATAACAACAGAGGACCAAAAGTGGGATTTCTCCACTAAATGTTAAAAACACGTGTGTCTTGACTACTGCGGGTCGGGTCAAGGGTGGTTTGATGGGCTCAGTATTTAACCTAAAAAAATTTTAAACCCTTCATATGTTCTTTTCTCACGCCAAGAGCACCCCCTCTCTCTCGTTTTCTCTCATGGTTCTTCACACGCGAAGAACACAACCCCAAATTTCCAAAATCCGACCGTTGTGCCGCCATGTCGACCATCGTTCATCGGCGGCGATACCCAAAAAATTTATTTTTTTGAAAGCTCTTTGGATTCCCTTTTTAAAAATCAAAACTATTTTTCAAGAATCACTCTAGAAAGCCGTAGATCCGAAAGAAAAAAAAGGTTTTGAATATGAGGGCCTCATATAGTTCATCGGCCAAAAAGATCACTGTTTTGGGTGCTTTTCGAATCAAGAACAACAAGGCAACAACATGCAAGCCTCAAAACGAAAACGAAAAAAAGGTATAGATTTTACCTTTCGTTACTTTCAAAAACCTTGAAGAATGTCTTGGTTTCAATCCGATGTGGCTCGTAGTTTTTGTGTAATTTATGCTCGTATATAATAATCGTGAAAAATACAATGGATGATTACATGTTATTTATAGTTGAACAAAAACCCTATTTTTAAGACTCATATTCTAACTGGAATCCTAATACTGGTTGGTTGTTTGGGTTGTTGGTGATGCTCGAGATCCGCGTGATGTAGGTGGCTTGGAGTCACGTCCACCGGAAAGATTAGAGGAGTAGTGTGCGGCTGTGGGACCCTCCTTAGCTGTTGTGCGGTGCTATGGAGAAGATGGGGCTAGAGTTTCCCATTGCAACTGGGTCTGCGTGTGGGTTGTGGCTGGTGTGGGCCAACTGTTGTATTTTATTTGGGTTTGTATATAAAAAATAAAATTAATGATAATAAATATACGTATATTATATAACACAATTCATAGTATAATATTAGTTAGGGCAGATGAAATTAGGTGTCTTCAGCTGCCCCTCTTTGCTCATTATCGTGCAACGACAATAGAGCAAATATTAAAAGACACAAATTTCATCCATATCGATCATCCATTGTCGTAGAGTTGAAATCCGATATTAAGACCGATTTGTCAATTTAAACCACGAAATGACTCCCTCTTCGTGAGGTTGAGTAGAAACTGGAAAATTATGAGCACGAAATCCTTCGTCGTGAAGTTGAAATCGGACTCAAAGCTTTTGGCAAGTGGCCTATGAATCGTCTTCTGGATCAAGGTATTTCGTCATGAAGCTGAAACTTGACCTGAAGACTTAGGTGTTGATGTGTTATAGATTACTCCTTCGTCGTGAAGTTGGGTCAATCTGTTGGGGTATGATGCCCTTTGTTGTGAAGTTGTAATTGTATACGACCCATTCGTCGTGAAGTTGAAATCCAATGTAAGTTGCACTATTCCAAGGCCAATATCCTTCTCTATAAAGTTGAAATTTACTCTGAAACTAGAAAGTTTGTTGACAAACACTCCTTCTTTGAGTTGGATATCCTTCGTTGTGAAGTTGAAATCCAATCTAGAGATGGATGCTGCTTGTGTGCACGATTCCCTTCGTCGTGAAGTTGAAACCGCGGGTAGCCCCTTCTTCATGAAGTTGAGCCTGATAATTGGATATCCTTTGTCGTGAAGTTAAAATTCAAGTAAGTTATATTGCTCCGAGTCCAATATCCTCCGTCGTGAAGTTGAAATTGGCTCTGGAACTGGGAAATTATTTGTTGACAGCCAGCCGCCCTTTTCGCTGTGAAGTTGAACTTGTGTTGTCTTGAGTCCAATATCCTTCGCTGTGAAGTTGAAATTGACTCTGAATGAAATTGAAAAGTTGTTTATTGACAATCAATCGCCCCTTCGTTGTGAAGTTGAGCTTGTGTT